GTTAAAAATCACCTCCCCCAATGGAGTTGACATTCAATACATAATGGATGGGCGGCTCTTTAATCTTTGATGTCTCTGCTCAAAGTCTAAAGTCTTCAGGGTGTCCATTACTGATCTGCAGTATGCTGACGATTGTGTCATCCTCGCGCACACTGAGAATGTCCTTCAGCTCATACTGGATTTTCTTGCACAAGCTTACCAGAGCCTAGGACTCTCACTCAATATTGAGAAGACTAAAGTGTTCTATCAACCTGCTTCAGGCCTTGCACATGACCCACCACAAATCACCATCGAGGGACAGACTTTGGAGACAGTTGAGCACTTTTGCTACCTCAGTAGCCAACTTTCTCAAGATGCAAAAATCGACAGTGAGATCCAGCACAGAATCCAGTGCTCAAGTGCTTCCTTTGGGAAATTGCTCCGATGTGTTTTCACGGACTGCGACCTATGACAAGACACCAGGTCTATGAGACAATTGTTTGTACACTCCTCTATGGATATGAAACCTGGGTGACCTATCGACAGCACCTAAAGAGTCTGGCGAGGTATCACCAACGATGCCTCCGGAAGATCCTCTGCGTCAAGTGGCAAGATCGCTGCACTAATGCCAGCATTCTCGCTGAAGCCAAGGTCACCAGCATTGAAGCAATGATCCTCCTGCACCAACTTTGCTGGGCCAGACTTTGTGTGTGGAGCCAGACTCTCACCTCCCAAAACAAGTCCTCTATTCTCAGCTCACCCATGGTGGTCAGAGATCCCATGGTGGTCATAGGAAATTCTACGAAGACACACTGAAAGCGCCCCCAACGGCACCCTATCCTCCATCAGATAGTGGCCCGCTTCTAGGTGAAGCGCCTTGCCCTCGAAGCTGAAAAGAGGGAGAGGAGGAAGGAAAAAGAAATAACTTTCTCCCAGCAGGCAGCTGACCCGCCACAAAATGTCTGTACCTACTACAGGCGGATTTGCGGTTCCGGGAACGGACTCCTGAGTCACCTCAGGACCCATATGTAAATCCGTGGTAGAGATCATCCTTGAATTGAGGGATCGCCAATCAATCAATCAATCAATCGCCACTGATATTGTACAGTGTCCTTTTTTAATCAGAATGTTGTGCAATATTAAGTCAAACATACATCTAGGCAGTTATCTTTATCAGCCAAACTTGTAATCTCATCAAAGAATTGTTTGGCAAGACCATTCTCCATAAGCAGTGATGACTAGTATTAATTATTTTCCAATCCTTTAATTTGTTATTAATTGAATCCCACACCAGCTTCTCCATTACGTTATCTGGGACCGATGTCAAGCTAACTAGCCTACAATTATCCCTGTGATCCCCTTTGCACTTTTTGAATACTAGCACATTAGCATTCTTCCACCATTCTGGAATTTCTCTGTTATTCCAGGATTTACTAATAATTAACAGCACCAGGTCAGCGATCTCCTCAGCTGATTCTTTTAGAATAATAGAAGATGAGGCTTGGAAGAGACCTCAGGAGGTATCTAGTCCAACCCCCTGCTCAAAGCAGGACCAACACCAACTAAATCATCCCAGCCAGGGCTTTGTCAAGCCTGACCTTAAAACCTCTAAGGAAGGAGATTCCACCACCTCCCTAGGTAACCCATTCCAGTGCTTCACCACCCTCCTAGTGAAATAGTGTTCCCCAATATCCAACCTAGACCTCCCCCACTGCAACTTGAGACCATTGCTCCTTGTTCTGTCATCTGCCACCACTGAGAACAGCTGAGCTCCATCCTCTTTGGAACCCACTTTCAGGTAGTTGAAGGCTGCTATCAAATCCCCCCTCATTCTTCTCTTCTGCAGACTAAACAAGCCCAGTTCCCTCAGCCTCTCCTTGTAAGTTATGTGCCCTAGTCCCCGATCATTTTCATTGCCCTCCGCTGGACTCTCTCCAATTTGTACACATCCTTTCTGTAGTGGGGGGGCCCACAACTGGACGCAATACTCCAGATGTGGCCTCACCAGTGCCGAATAGAGGAGAATAATCATTTCCCTTGATCTGCTGGCAATGCTCCTACTAATGCAGCCCAATATGCAGTTAGCCTTCTTGGCAACAAGGGCACACTGCTGACTCATATCCAGCTTCTCATCCACTGTAACCCCCGGGTCCTTTTCTGCAGAACTGCTGCTTAGCCAGTGGGTCCCCAGCCTGTAGCGGTGCATGGGATTCTTCTGTCCTAAGTGCAGGACTCTGCACTTGTCCTTGTTGAACCTCATCAGATTTCTTTTGGCCCAATCCTCCACTTTGTCTAGATCACTCTGGACCCTACCCCTACCTTCCAGCATATCTACCTCTCCCCCCAGCTTAGTATCATCCGTGAACTTGCTGAGGATGCAATCCATCCCATCATCCAGATCATTAAGGAAGATGTTGAACAAAACTGGCACCAGGACCGACCCACTTGATACCGGCTGCCAGCTAGACATCGAACCGTTGATCACTACCCATTGAGCCTGACAATCTAGCCAGCTTTCTATCCACCTTCTAGTCCATTCATCCAATCCATACTTTTTTAACTTGCTGGCAAGAATACTGTGGGAGACCATATCAAAAGCTTTGCTAAAGTCTTAGGTCTCCCTGGTTCAAGTTATCCAGGCCGGCTGATTTAAAAAGGTTTATCCCCAGTAGATATTGTTTAACATCGTCCCCTTGGTTACTAATGGACCAGAAAGTACTTCATCGTCTCCATATGCTACGAGTACATCATCCCGCTTCTTTCCAAATACAGAACAGAAATACTTCTGCTTTCTCTGCATCATTATTAGCAATTTTACATCTCCAGCTAGCAATGGGCCTATACCATTGCTAGGATTTCTTTCATTCCTGATATCCTTAAAAATACCTGAATCAATGTTCTGCACTTCATAACTCCTAATTTACATTACTTGGTATCCACTTCCCCTTCCTTTCATTGGCTATCAATTGCTTTTTTTATTCCTAGTAGTTCCTCACAGTCTCTTCTAGTCTTGATTAACCTAAATAATTGTGTGTCCTCTTTTATTTTTCCACCTCCCTGCTCACCCCTTTTCCTACGTCCCCATGCTCAGGGACACCTCCACTTTCAACAGTTTCCTCTGAAGCCAGTTCCAATGACACCTCCTGACCCATTTCTTCTCCATCAAAATTCTTGAATTAAGGAGTCTGCAGAAAGGGTTAGGATGGGAGCTGGCCCCTTCCTTGCTCTAGAGTCTCCTTGTGAGAAGGAAGAATGTATCTGAACTGTCTCCACTGTGAGGTTCACACAGCCAGCAAAAGGCCATCCTGACCCTTTCTCAGCCAGCCCAAGTGCCCGGGGAAGTGTCATTCCACTGGCTATTGGGCAGCTTCTCATACCACAACTCACACAGCACTGCAAAGTTCATACCAAATTCCACCGGTGAGGCTCAGGGCCTTTACCCAGCCTGCTTAACTAGGCTCTGAAACTGGCCTGAGCGTGTGGCTTTAAGCAGAGATGGGCAAAACAATTTGGAAAATGCACCACACTGAAGTGTCACCGGAAAGTGAATCCAATGCTTGACAAGGTTCTGAAACGTTCAATGAAGGATCCCCACTCAATATTCTTCCCTCCCAGAAGGGGGTTGAGATGGGCAGGGCCAAACATTTGCCTGACTCTTAGTCCCCACTCCACTCCCCACCATCCAAGCTGGGAGCAGCTCTTCCTAGGGAAGGTCCAGGGACATGCTGTCCCCACTCAGGGCATGGCCTTTCTAGCAGACTTTTGATGGGAAGGTTTTTGTTGCTGAAGGGAACGCCCACAACCCCTTAAGTACCC